TCTCACCGTGTCCAAGAGCGTGCCGACCCAGGTCTGCTTGACTGTGCCTTGGTAACAGGGTTCGGAGCCGTCATAACCCCATCTGGCAACAGCGACATGGATCCTCTATTCAGGGCTTTTCGAGACTTAAGCCCGGAGCACGCGCGATGCTGCATGCTTTTGAATGCCAAGATATCCCAAGAGGTGCTTCTAAGCCAACTATGTCTGTGAGAACGGCCGCAGAGCTGGAAGGTGTCAAGCATAATTAGCAAGCTGTCGGAGATTCACTGCTCGGACTGTAACCGGTCAGTCCAACCTGAAGCCCAGCCCTGGTTTCCACGAGCCCAGCAATCCTCTTGCCAAAAGGCTGTTTGCACCGTCGGCGCCTACGCGTGGGTGTTTACTTGTCAGGGGGTCATGACGGCGACGATGACAACAGCCATTGTCAGAAGCTCGGTTTGAAATGGCAGGACCAGAGCTCACGAAGACGAGATGCTGGCAGCCCCAATTGTGTTCTGCCCCAAAGTTACTCAAATATAGTATAGGGGTCCTGAAACTTACTAGCAGTAGTCCTTGCGTCTGCCGTTTCACAACTAGAGACAGTACATACCTAGTTGTTTTCACCCACCCACCCACCCACCCACCCCGCCGTAGCACTCGCCCACAGTAGGTCCTTACCACGACAGGGTTTAAGTGCACACTGACAAGCTTTCCAACCACAACGACAAGCCTTTTTCTTACACTGACAAGGGTTCAGCGCGGCCACCATTTTGGCAAATATAAACAGTCAAGTCTACCAAAATCGTGATTCCCCCGCTTGTTTGGGGAGAGGGGGCACGCGCGGGAATCGCCATTTTGCCATTATCAGAGCCTACATCCTCCAAAATGGTGATTCCAACGCGTGTGGTGGTGGAGAAAGGGGGGCGCGGGAATCATCATTCTTTAGAGCTTAAATCATCCAAAATTGTGATTCCCCCGTGTGTTGTGGTGGAGAGAGGGGGCGTGTGCGGGAATCACCATTTTTGCCATTTGTAGAGCCTAAACCTCCAAAATGGCGGAGAGAGGGGGGCACGTGCGGGAATCACCGTTTTGCCATTTTCAGAGCCTGAATCCTCCAAAATGTGATTCCGCCGCGGGTGGTGGTGGTGGACAGAGGGGGGCACGCGCGGGAATCACCATTTTGCCACTTTCAGAGCCTAAATCCTCCAAAATGGCGCCCTCTCCCGCCACGCGCAGGGGACATTTTTGAGCATTTAGGCTTTGAAAACTGCAAAATTAAAATGGTGATTCCCGCGCGCAAAATGATGATTCCCGCGCGTCCCTCCCCCCCCTCCCGCCGCACGCGGGGGCATCACTATTTTGGAGGATTTAGGCTGTGAAATGGCGCAATGGTGATGTCCACGCGTCCTTCCCACCCTCTCCCGCCACACGTGGGGGAATCACTAATTTTGAGGATTTAGGTTCTGAAAATTGCAACGTGGTGATTCCCGCGTCCCTCCCCCACCCTCTCCCCCGTATGCAGTGGAATAAAACACATGGAGGATTTCGGCTAGTGAAAATGGCAAAATGGCCCGGCCTCACATGCGGGGGAATCATCATTTTGGAGGGAAAATGGCCAAATTGTGATTCCCACGCGTCCCCTGTCGACTCTCTCGCCCACGTGGGGGTATCACTATTTTGGAGGATTTCGGCTGTGAAAATGTGTCGTGCTGAGATTTTCATCCCTTATGGTGGCGAGGTTTTCATGCCTTGTCGTGGTGAGGTTTTCATGCGCTGTCGTGGTGACGTTTTCATGCGCTGTCGTGGTAAAGTTGTGTTTCTGTCGTGGTGCCAATATTTCTTGTTATGGTGTGGATTCTTTTTTGCTGTCGTGGTAACAACGCGCTCTCAGGCTCGAAGCATGTAGGATTCTGGGATGTGGGTGTTGCCTCGCAGCTCCAAGGACTGTCACCTTCTTTCTTTGCCGCCTTCGTCCTTCAGCTCAGCCTGCTCACTTTGCAGACCCTGGCCTGCACAGAAACGAAGTGTGAGGATCCTGAGAACCGTGGCGAGTTGGAGTTCACAGAGGAAAAGCTTTAGTGACGCGCTGCAAACCCTCGCATCCTCCAAAGCGACAGCACTGCCGGCAAGCCTGCACGAGCCCCTGGCTCCTGCACTCGAGGCTTTGGTACTTCTTCATTCGTTCCAGACTACAAGCGCAGCCGGAGCACTCGCCGCAGGAGGACTCCACAAAATCGCGAGTGGTGAAGAAGACTTGCACTGTTCTTTTGCACGAAGCCGCCCAACTCTGGAAAGCTGCCCCGAAGAGCCTGATGATTAAAAAGTTCGGAATTCGCGGCTCACGCCCAAGCGGAGGCGCGGAGAGCCCCGAAGGACAAACCCAACAGCCCTCTTCGAAACAACCCTTAGGAAAGATTTCAAGGTTTGGCAGCCTGCTTGAGCAGCTGGTATCTTCCGAAACCCGAAACCCGAAGCCGCTGTCGAGCGTCGTGTGAAAGCCCCACTTGCATTAAAGGGACAAAGGAAGAGAACATTGCTAGCAGGTTAACGGAAAGAGTTTAGGGTTTGGTGCCTTTTGCCCTAGAAAGGCAAAGCAGAGACAGAGCGAGTGAGGGCGAGAGAGACGGATGGGGCCAGGGAGGGAGGAGGGCATGAGAGAGGAGCAGAGCGGGATCAGAGACCAATGTACAGGTGTGTAGTTGCATGTGCACCTTTACAACAACTTAAACCCCAAACCCTTGACTTCTGAACCCTAGCTGGCAGCTTGCGGAGAGGACTGCTATATGGAGTTCCAGTGACGGGAGCTTCCGGGACGGACAGATGTAGACATGAGGTCGGAGGGTTTCCCTGCTCAGAGCAAGCTTGAACAGCGAGGAGCCCTACACACTCTCTCTACGCGCTCTGCATATTCCTTGTCGGATTTTCAATCGAAGGGCGCGTTCAGCCGTTGGTCAATGTCTGGGATGAACCCTCACATGGTGCTATGACCAAAGCCTTGTGGTAGAGAGACCCCTCTGACTCACAGCTTTGCATGTCTCAGAAAATCCCTCAGACCTCATGGAGCAGCTGCAGGGTGAGAGGGCAACAGAGCGTGCGAAGTTGATACTTATGGGTCACGTGCCATGGCTAGCGGATAGTGGTCTGAACAATCTGGATTCACTCGTCATGGTTACGCACGTAGCGATCAGAGGTCGGGCTGTGGAGTTGGACTCTGGGGTCGTGCGCGTTGGAAATTCGTCCTCGTTTCCTCGCCATAAACATGGGAGCAGGGTCCCACAAGGACCCTGAAGTGCACAGGTCGAATGGTTGAGTTGCATGTAGGTCTTAGATGAAAGCCCCGGCAGCTAGAGCACCATACAACATGGAGCCGCAGAACAGGTTCGGAAAGGACGTGCAGCTTACAGCCCTCCCGGAGCAAGTGCTCCGGCCTTCGATGCGCTTTTTCCTCCAAGGCCCCGGCAGAGGCAGAGGAGAGCCGCCGGATCAGGAATCCGCGCTCCATGGCGCCAAGTTCCCAAGTGCCACACTCATTCGAAGAATCCACGCTTAGTTTAAAGAAAAAGAATCAGCAGCAGCACCACCGCGAATCCGTGCTTCCACCAATAAATTAGTCACTTCAGCCCCCAACTCAAAGGCACCGACAATGCAAAGTGCGAGACCCGAACGGCCCAGCGCTCGGTCAGCACAGAAAAAAGAAAAAGACCCTGCGTGAGAATGGTTATCTTCGCTTCGGGGCTTCCACTCACGTTGAAACATATTCCCTCTGACTATTTGCATCCCTCCTCCCCACGGTTCGGCCCTGACGGCGACCTTGGTGCAATTGGAACGGGTGTGGTGTTATTGATGATGATGATGATGATGATGATGATGATGATGACGCTGATGATGCTGATGATTGATGCTGATGATGACTGTTGTCCTTTGGTATGAACGATCTCGTCCTAGGTTGACAATTTGTGTGGCCTCCAGGCTTCTGCTGAGAGCATTACAGTTGGCTCAGCCCTCTTCCACCATCTAACTCCAAGCTCAGGTAATCATTGATGTGCACTTGTCCTGAGGTGGAAATCTAGAGCGAGCTTGCAGACTGTTTGCAGATACTGGGAAGTGGGATGCATTCCTAGGAAGCCGTACGTATGCACAGCAACCCGAACCCTGGATGCCAATACATTTGCATCTGATTCCAGGTCATTATGAGAGTTTTGCCCCGAAGCAAGCCTTCTCGCCCCGCAGCAGGCCACCTACCTCTCTTGAGTGAAGGGTGGCAGAAGCAGACTGGTAGAGTGGAAACTAACTGTGCAGAGCTATTCATGCGTTACCTCTCTCTTGGTCTTGCTGCGAGCTCTTTTCATCGGCATGGAGTCGTGACCGCATTCGGCTGCAGGAGCGGAAAAAGCAGGGTTTCCTGCAGGTCGCTAGTAGGAAAATGGCGCGCGGTTCATTGGCGACTTGTGTGGATGTTCGGAATGGATCGCGGCTCTTTCCAGAGTATAAAACCCTCGGACGGTATGGGGCACCCGGCACTGCGAAAGTCATGCGGGCTGGTCACCACTGCCAACCGAGACTACTACAAGAGAGTCGCGGCCGACACGCACAGGCAAAGCCGTGCCACATCGGCATGTCGCAAGAACCTGCAGATGAGAGCAAGAGTAGTATGAGACTACACCCTTAAATTAAGATAGCTGAGGGTGATGTTAAATTAAACCGAAGCGCGTTAGCCGATCAGAGACTAGCAGACTAGTAGCTCTGACTTTTGCGGAGTGGCACGTGGAACCTCATGTCTTGTGATGGAATCTTTCGTGTGCATAGGCATAGGATCATAGGGTTGGACTCGGTTGGACATAAAGGCCTAGGCATCATCAACTGAACCAGCCAACGGACACACGGCCAAGGTAAGCCTGATCCGCGTTGCCTAAGCAACTACGCTTTGTTTCACTACATCGGGATGTTCTGATGCCAGTAAGCAGCAAAACAATTAGTCGCCAAGGCCTACGGAACAGGAGCTCGCAGATGAAGAATTTGAGATGCAGGCAGCGTGATCAGCCGGAGTGGAGGTATGACATTGCGGTTGAAGTTGCTTTTTTCGTTTTCTGCTCTATCACACAGTCCGAGCACTCTATTTGAATCCGGGCTTGCCAACAAGTTGCTGCCGTGCACTGCTATCCCTGGTTTCCATCTACGACGACGCCAGATACGCGTTATGCCCAAAATCCCAGAATCCCACAGCTCAAGAGCCTAATCCCTGAAGACTACAGTTTACACCCTGGAACAGGCAGAGCATGTCCGCAAGGCAAAGGAGGCCGCTGAGGCCTTCCGGGCTGCAGCTTCTTTTTTTTCCATTCTCACGGCTCCGCTGGCCTTTCAATGTGCTACTTGTACGGGTTTTGGGATGGAGCTTTCCACGCTTTTGATTCAGGCGCCATTGATTAAGTCCCGTTTGTTCCTGGTTGGGCTGCATGCAGTTTGGTTCGTAACAGAATTTTCGAAGACTTTTGGCAACAGTTGCTGATAGCATGTGTAAAGCTGAAGAGGCATTCGCGGAGTCACTCATGGGTGTACACATACATATGGACAGACGCACAGACGAAGGAAGGGCGGACACACAGAGACAGACTGACAGATTCATGCACACATGCACACACTTGTGGGATTTCGGCAGGAGCAAGAGGCAAGCAGAGAAGAGGGATGATGCGGGGTTGTTGTTCGTTGTTTCACACAAGCCACGGCTGCTGCAAACTGTTCAAGAAACAACAGCGAGGATAATCAATGTACAGCCAATATAGGAGTGACCCTCTTTTCCCCTGTGCTAAGGAAGTTCACCACACACACACACACAATCCCACAAATGTGGGACGGGCTTGCAAAGATTATTGATGCAGTCTATCCTTGCTGTTTGCGTAAGTGCTTGATGCGGCAAGGTAGCGAACTGTCAAACGGTCAGCATTTCTTTCTAATGTGCTTGTTGTGCCATTCGATACATGGCGGCGTAGTCAAGCTCCTACAGTATGTTCAGAGCAGCATTTCGCAGTCTACACTGGAGGCAGATAAAGTGCACTTGAGGGCACCGATTGGTGCGTCGTGACTGCGGTGTGTGTGTGTGTGTGTGCGATGGCTGTGAAACACCGTCGAACGAAAAACCTCCCAAGTGCTCCGATGTGCCAATAATGTAGGGTCGCAGGCCTCACGACATCGACTATATATGAGTCCATGTTGTCGTCATCTGATTGATCCCGACGCTGACGTTTTGCTGGACAGGAAGGTTGTGCACCGGCGACGTGGGTTTCTACAGTGTTGTCGGTTTCATGTTTTTTTTTTTTGCAAGTTGTGGGCTGCGCTATGGTGTGCCATACTTGGACCCATTGTCCGTTCTGATGGGGCCAACACCAGCTCCTGTCCTGATCCAAGGCTCATGTCGTTGTTGGGCCAAAGAATGGCTGCGCACGTGACGTGATTTTGGGTGCTGTATCCAGCGTCTCGATCATATGGCGCTGTGTCTTTTATCAGCCCAATGGTCCGACAGTGTATTGTGTCGAGATGTTTTTCCGCTGATTGTTGGATGACTGCTGCAATTGGCTGCAATATGGGAGTGTCGGGTTAAGCAAACTCAATGTTGAAAAGTGCCCGAATGTAGAGTCTACGGTATTGAAACACCGGCAGCTGAATCAATTGCCAGTATGTAGCAATGCGATGCCGCATAATTTTTTAGATTTGGTGAGGTGTGTGGATGAAAATGTCCAAAGACACGGGGTAGTCTTGCTAAGAGGCATGGAGACACAATAATGTGTTGCCACTCCTGCGTGGTGAGGCAGTTTCTGATATGTACATAGGCTGCTTTACAGGTTGCTGCCAGGCAGCAGATGGCAGTCGCCTCGTACTGGAATCTCAGTGTTGTTTGCAGAAAATATGGTCCGGATGCTGGTGGGTCGGACCAAGTCTTCCAACAGAATGCCGGAGGTTGATTGCATCTCTGTGCCGTGGCTTCACACATAGTAATAGTTGTGAGTGGCGGCGCTGTAGCCGAGTAGCCAAAAGGAACGCGTTCTTCGCCCTTCCACGGCACATACAGTGTAGTATGTACCCCATCGGAGATATCCATGACGGTGGCGCTGAGCTCCTGGCATGCTTCTCGTGTTCCGGAAGTGCAGATGGCATGTGCTAAGTCAGATATGTCGTTGATGTTGATGTTTGTTCTGTCATCAATCTCAGCAGTGTGTGTGTGTGTGTGTGCCAGCTTGTTGGACTCTTCGAGATCAATTGCATGCGGTGTGACCCAGTCTTGCGGTCTGATCTCCACGCGCGGTGTGACAATATTGTGAGATGGACGCCGGTCGGTCCGTATGTCGCTGGAACGTGATGCCTGTAGATGTTGCTGTCGATCCGAGCTGCCTTGTGCTGTCAAACGTTCTCGCGCAGGAGTTTGCTGTTGTGTCACTGCCTGGTTTGCCAGGCGGCGAACCTGGTTTTTCAATTTCAATCGTTCATGCAATCTGCGATGTGATTGTGCTGGTATTGGCGGCGGTGGTGGTGGTGATGGCCAGCCATGTTGTTGTGCTGCGGTATGTGGCTGTGTTCTATGTTGCCAGGGGTCGTGATTCTCTCGTCGGAGAGATGATGAGCTGCGCAGTGACATTGTCCGTGGAACAGGGCTGGTGGTGCGGCTGGATGGGCTGGTTGATCTGTTGCGGTGGTGTCGTCTGCCATGTTGTTATCGATGTTTCCTGCTGGTGTGGTGGCTGTTGCGGCGTCTGCGGCGGGTTCTGTTATGCGTGACAGCGTGGCATTGGCCGCTGCGGCTGCGTGACACTGTTCGTGGATGCTGTTGTGAGATGGTGCTTGTCGGCGTTCCGGCGGTGGCTTGTTGGTCTCTGTGGGCGGAGCGGATGTTGGCTGCTGTGGTGTGATTGTAATTTGGGTCAAGGTTGCTGGTGGAGTTGTTGGGAATGCCTGCGCGGGTGCCTTGTTGATCGGCGGTCATGGCCCTGCGGGAGCTCGTGTCGCAAATGTGTGTGTGGCACGGGCTGCGCTTGTATTGTAGGTTGCCCAGTTTGCACGGCGAGTTGCGTGGCTTGCGGCTTGAGTCGACTGGGTGTGCTGCATCAAGCGAATGACATCTGCCACCGTGACCGACTGTGACGTTAACTGTGGTTGTGGTGTGGCGACGTTCGATGCTTGTGGTTGGGGAGGTATCTGACAAAGCTGTGTGATACGGTTGTGCAGGCTGCTCATGTCCAGTTGTGTATATGGTCGTGGAGTTTGCATCTGAGGTTGCTGCTGTCCTTGTGGCATCATGTTGTAGGCGGGTTGTGGCGTGACCTGTGACAGTGGCATCATGGTGCTGTTGGGGTCTGGTTGCACAGCAATGTGCTGTGATTGTGGTTGTGGTAGATGTACGGTTGTGTCTGCGGTAGCATTCAGCCGCCTTGCAAGTATGCTGGTATCGGCTGCATCTGCGGAGACATCTGCTTCCAGTCAGGGTGCATGGCAGCGTGCCGCAGCAGCGTGCAATCCGGTCCACAGCGTCAAGTATGAACAAGGCAGCTGGACCGCTGTTGGTCAACTTGGGGAAGACATGACGTGATACCGAAGAAATTTGCTCTGGGCAGCCCATTGCATTAGACGACGGTTACTTCACCTACACTCAAACAAAATCACACGCGCTTGCAATCTCTGACAAATGATGCTGTCTTGCGGGATTTGCGTGGGGTTCACTATGTTGAGAATATCGTGAGCTGTAGACAGTTGAGAATATGTTTGTAGCAGGCTTGTTTTCATGCCGAGTGCGCAGTCCGACTTGTAGCTGCAGGAAGTTCTCCTTGGTTAAGGTGGCTATAGTATCCAGCCGCACTGTTGATCTTCCAATAGTTCTTCTGCTGTTGCGCTGGACATTGGATGTCCCTTTCCAATCAATGGCTGGCGACGCACTTGAGTGATCTGACTGTGAAAACATGTGAGCGTCTGCGGAAATATGCTCACTTCTAAACGCCCGATGCACACGCTGTGGTCAATCTGGAGGTGATCTGTCCGGGCTGTGGCATGTGCTGAGCTGATGAGTGCCGCGCTGAGGAGCCGCTGTCCCCGGTGCTTTCCTGATCTTCACCTTGTTGTTCAAGACGTACAGTCTATATCCGAGTGAAAAGGTCACTCCGCTGAAGATGTGCCGTAGAGGTAGATGGCCGCGGCGTAGATTACTGTTGTGGTATGGCGTGGATCTACGTCGGGCTGTTAGTGAAGCAACCATGTATAGCCAACCTACGCGCAGTTGTGTTCACGGATCTGACATGTGTCTGAATGTCACATGTTTGCAAGCGTCTGCTTTTATGTTGGTCGCTTCGGATCATGTCCTTCATATGTCTCTGCTACCTGTATGGTGGCATCATTGCGACATCACTTCTTCCCTGCACCTGTCGCTGCACATTATTTGCAGGGTCCATATTGATCAAATTTGTCACTGATCCTGTGGATTCTTTGGTCTGGACAGCACGTATTGCACTAACTTGAGAGTGGACGATGAAAACCTGCGTCTGGGCTGTGCAGATGTGGAGTTGTGGCAGTGTTTTCTCAGAAGGTCCAGAACGAGTTCTGCTCGTCGAGGTATGAACAACGCTTCATCAAGCTGGTTCGTGTCCTGCAGTCTCGTTCTTTGGCCAGGAAGAACCCTCAACATACTTCCGTCCGACAAAGCGTGAATGATCGAGAGGACTGGTTTCCTGGGATATATTCCTCGAGGCTTCTCATGTGATGCTGATCGCCGTGAATGCTCTTCCCCGGTCACCGAGTCCGATGAGGAAGAACTCGTTGCTGCTGTGGCTGGCCTCGTTGGCTTGGCGACCTTGTCTGTGGAGTGGCGGTCGATCATTCCATCGTGTCTGCGCTTTGGTTGGACAAGTGAATGGAATTCCCATCGTCTTTGGAGTGATCCCTCTGCAATGTCCGATGTGTCCACCAGCTGATCAGAGTGCGGGATCTGATCATTTGCATTCTCATTTTCTGGTGTAGAATCGATGTTGCCAAACTGCCAAAATTGTCCTCCGACTCAGGTAGAAGGTTTGAATCAGAATCCGGTAGAAGAACTTGCTTTTCATGGGCCATGGTGTCCAAAATCCAGGCGACTCAGGCGTCTGCGTTCTCCTCGAACAATTCGCACTGCTTCACAAAAAATGCAAGCAGCGTCTCGGCAGACGTGTTGTAGGCTGATTGTGTTGTCGAGGTTAAAGGCCCAGCACTTGCTGCTGCTGCACCCCACAGCTGAAGAAGCCCGACCCGCTGCGGTGGTCGAGGTCTAATGATCTCGTCTGACGCCCAAACTTTCCCAGAGCCAGGCTAGCAACAGCCTGCGAAACGGAAGTCTTTGCAGCCGTCTATCCATCCAAAGTCCCGTGAGCGGGCTGCAAGTGTGAGTATGTTTGTGCACGCAAGGATTGTAAAGTGGTGGAACCGGCGTTTACTTGCAACAGTGGCGTCATGTTGTTCGCTTGCACGTGATGTGATATCTGCAGCAGTCTCTTGATAGTTCCCTTGCCATCGCCAACGCATCGAGCACTCAAGCAAGCCACGCAGCGTATAAACAAGGCTGTATGACCGTTGGTGGTTTGCTTGGGGAAAAAGAAGGACAAAAGATGCAATGCCCAAGTGTCAGGCTCCCGGAGGAGCGAACTTGCACTCATGTCAAACTCACATTCCCTTGCATTCCCTGAGAAAAGAAGCGTTAAAATAAGCACAGAACAATGGATGTAATCTTGCACACCCTGCACTTGCACTAGACGCTCCGTATCCGCACATGCCGTTGCCCATATTGGTTCCATATAGCCGGTATAGAATGGTCCAGGTGCCTGAGAGTGTCAACCCATCAGCCCAAAGAATCGACCGGATATCTGGCTCCTGGCCAACTATCCCACAAGGGCCACCACGGTGCCATGACGGAAAGCCGCTGTTTACGGGTCTCGGAGCCCTACGTTCCACACTTGTGGGATTTCGGCAAGAGCAAAAGGCAAGCGGAGAAGAGGGGTGATGCTGGGTTGTTGTTCGTTGTTTCACACAAGCCACGGCTGCTGCGAACTGTTCAAGAAAAAAGCGAGGATAATCAATGTACAGCGACATTGCTAGATGCTTTTTACGTTCTTCATCACTTTGCAGGTACAGGTGTCCATCCTGTCTTGGAATACCTGTGTTGGCACAGGTATCCAAGACAGGCCTGTGCCCCCTGCAGTGTTAAGGAAGTTCACAGGCACACATGCACAGAGTCACACATACATATGCATACAAATGAAGTGTAGGCACGTGCGTGCCCACGGACGCATAGATGCGAGCCCGCACACGCACACATTCTGTGCAGGAGCTCCGTTTGAGGACATGCCACATCGCCGGCCTGGCAGAGGACACAGATCCTGAATCCATCAGGCAGGGCCAAAACTTTCGGGAAAGCTGGGGAGCCAACCAATCTGATCTAGTGTGCAAGCTCTAACTGGGTACATCGGACCACATGGTGTCCCAATCTTCCTGTTCCAGGGCCTCTGTTTTCTCCATCCCGATGAAGCACTAATTAAATGGCAGCCGCCGTCCTTAGACCGCAAAGCGAGGGCACCGCTCTTGTCAGGAAGCTGTGCGAAGGCTGGGGCGAGGTGGAAACCCTGAGGAGCTTGGTGTCATTCGCGAACTGGGGTTGAGGGAATGAAATTTTGGAGCTGAGGTTCGCAGAATATTTCGATTTTTCAGGCTTAGCAACCAAACAAACGAGCGAGTGCAGAACTTTGTTCATAGACCTTTGTCTGTTCGCGTTGTGCTGTCGTTCCAAACTTCGCCAGTCCACAAATCGGGCGGTTCACGGGCATACTAAACTGCCTGCTTGAAAATCTGATGCAGCGTAGGCTGCCGCGAAGATCTCAAAAGTCCGCCACGCTGACAAAGCCTTCTGCTGACCCGTGGGGTCTTGCAGAAGACCACGCCCTTGGGCTGAACATCTTCCCGAGTGGGCACGACAAGTCTTCACGACCGCACCACTGCAGCAAGCTACAGCCTGCTAGAGCCCTTCTTGAAGAAACACAGGTGTAGTTTAATTTGTGAGACACTCCTAGACTCCTAGAGGCTATCTAGGAGATGTGGATGCAGCTCTTGGAGGCTCCCACATAGGCAGAACGGCAGCTTCTTCAAGCCGCCTCCTTCCCAATAGCACATGAACAACCGAAGTGCGCAAGACAGTTGGCAATCGGAACACGGAAGTCGGATGATGGGCACCTTGCAGGATAGACAAGGACGCAGACGGTCCTGGCCTCAGCAGGTCGGAATTGGCCCCAAGGCTTGGCAAGGCGAAATCTCGTTGTTTCCAATCGTCGAACGTGTCGATCGTACTCACACGTGCGTGGGGCACAGCCGCAGCCAGGCCATGCTGTAATGTAGCATGCTGTAGCCGTAGCCCAGCAGCGAAGTCCATCAGAAGCATGCCATTTCGCAGCGGCAGCTGTGCAAGTTTCGATCAGGAGCGTCGCCTTTCGCCACGAGCATCGTGGAACGATTTTGCCTGTTATTCATTTGGCCTAGCAACCCCCCGGCGCATGCATGTTTAGTTGTCTCGTCTCCCCATGAACATCCCATGTAGAAACACTGCTTGCGCGCAGAGTCCTTTTTGCCGTGGTGCTGAAGGTCAAACCTTCGGCCTCGTTGAGTTCAAGGACTCATCAGCGCTCCGTGAATCAACCACAGGCTTGCAGTTGCCATGCACCAAACTCAGAAAATCTTTCAACTTTCAACCATGTCAGAACCTGCGAATACAGCATGCATGAACTTTCAACAGCAGCATGAGTCGATGAAGCGTCCAGCGCATTTTCCAAAAGCATGGCTGACTCGATATCTGCATGTGGGAGCATCGACCTACCCGACGAATGCTCGACATCTCCAGTAAATCCTTGCTACTCAGACCTGGGCTCTCAAACTCAAATCGCTGAAGTGTTGACGCCACATACTACTTGTAGTATCATAAGCTCGTAAACTCCAAACCATGGCCCGAAGCCCCTTTCACAGGAGACCAAGGTTGCTCATGCGAGGCACTCAGCTTGCACCCCGACGCGACTGCCTCTGCCATGGTGGTGATGATGATGCTGAATGTACAGCAATAGGGCGACCTTGAGTTCGGGTCGTATCGTCAAGCAACTGGTAAGCGCCCGATGCGGACATCTTGCAACGAGACTGAGCTGGCGGTGGCGACGCACTCAAAGACAAATATAGAACCATTAAACAGTTGAGTCGTACAATGCATAGTGCATGGCATCTCCAGCGACGGCCGAATTAATTACAAGCATCAGGTACGATCGTGACTCTTACGTGACGATGGTTTTTATGTTGAAGATGATAATACCACACTGGTCGGTTTTTGTGGACCACCGCAATGCCGATCACTGCGGTTCTTGATCATGATGTTGGCTGGCGAGTTTGAGTATCGTGGGAGGTTCGTGTGCAAGGCAACAGTGCAACGTTGTCGGCGGGCGGGTTCAAGTCTTGATTGATAGCTCTAACACGATCACTGGTGTTTTGGATCGTGGTATCCGTGAGGGCGAGATGGTCGAGTCGTAGTTGTGTGCCCTCCAATTGCCAGCACAGAGGGCACAGACCTAATACCACAACGAAGACCCTTCCACATGCAGTCTTGAGGATGATGGCTGTGCTCTTGATGGTGATCTTCAGGAACCAGGGGCTTTTTCGGAGACAAGCTTGGCGCCACCTCAGGTTGTAAAGATGCAGCGGTCTTTCCTTGTGGATGACGACCGGGTGCTCGTGTTCACAGAGGCCTTGGTGCATGTAAGCCGAGCCCCTAAGGCCCCTGTTCCGGTAGTCACATGGCTGAAGTCACAGCACCGACTGGGGAGAGACAGTTGGCATCTCCTTGAATGTTTAGTTTGGGAGGGCAGGGCGTAGCCGACCCCATGTTCTGGCAAAGAAGTGGTGCCACCGTTCTGCCTTCGGATGCGAAAACTAGAGGTTGAAGAGGGCCTCCTGGTTGAGTTCCGGGAGCCTAAGGACATTTCCTTTTCGTATCTATGGGGGCACTCCCGCTTGCTACCTTCGTCACCTCGTTTTCTAGTGCAGGAATGTTGCACAGCATCTGCAAGAGTAAAGGCCCTTTCGGATGGCCTTTCGGCAGTGTCTGCGAACATATGAATTTCAGTGCGTGTTCATGGAGCGAAACAACCAGAGAGTGGTTGTTAAATTCCGTTGCAGAGCAGAGCAACACCGACGGCTCAGAGCCGGCAGGCGAAGTCTCATGTGGACAATGCCAAGGTTGAAGAGATGTCATGGCCTCGGCCCTCTCGGCTAGTGTACATCTTGAGGGCCCGCGAGCTCTTAGGCCCCAGGCTGCGTGAGACGGAACAGATGAACACCGGCATCTAAATGCCTTGCGAATCCTCATTGCATCCTTGCCAGTGTTTGGCAAAGTGGCGTGAGTGCGACGTGACCCTGCAAGCACACTACGAAAATCTCCGGATCAGTGCTGCCATGTATCAGAGTGCCATGCTCAGGACTGTGCAGTTCCAGGCGCCCTGCAATTCCCCTAGGACATAAGCCTGCAAAGTCTCCGCTGGAAGGTCCGCGTGGCGGTCTGTGTGACATCATACTGGAGGGGACTTGCAGCAGAGCTGTTGAATGCAACTTCTTGGTAACTAGCTTCGAGTAACAGTTTGTCAGCCAGGCTTCCTACTTTTCCAGGGCTCGCAACCGGACGAAAGTTAGCACACTGCTCCATGACTTGGTTCCCAAATGACAAAAAACAGCCGTCGTTGCACGATCCCTTGGAGAGCTGTCCACTTACTCGCACCACCGCGGAGAAGCCTTAAAATTGTTTCAGGCGCCGATCATCGATGCCATGAACATGCGCTCAGCCCGAGCCCAAGTAGTACTTCTATACGTTGTTTAGGAGAGAGCCGAATATTGCAGAACCGTACGATGAAGATACCGAAGATGGGAGACTAGGAGTGCCTAGCACTGTGTGTTTAGTTGCGGCTCATGTTGGCTTACTCACAACTTTCTTGGTCTCTTGGTCTGGCGCTACCGTCGGTAGCCAAGCCCCCACTTGTTTTAGGCGAACATGCTCCTGGTAACTTGTAACTTGTGTGCCGTTTCAACAATTTTGACTCACTTGCTCAATGATTCTCAGTCTTGAGAGCGCGGCGGAACGAGGAAGCGAGGTTGACCAGACGTCTTGGCAGCAGTCTTGGTTCTTGGTTACCGCGCCGCCTCCGGTACGTAGGGAACTTCAACATTGGACGTGCTTGCCAGAACCCAGATTGCCTGGAAAAATCTTGCTGGGATGGTGATGTTGGTGTTTTTTCTTCTTCTTCTTCTTCGTCTTCCTCTTCCTCTTCTTGTTGCTGCTGGTGCCCTCCCTTTTCTGGGTGAGGTGTCTCCGGAACGTAATCGACTGGCGTTGACGACCAACATCATGGACGAACTTGCTGTCGCCGTTTTCATTGGCGCTACCAGCCAGCTGTTTCTCAAAGATCTCAACCGAGCTCAGAAAAAGCCGTACCCAACACCATCTACCGGAAGTTTCAGAATCAAAGCCTGTAAGCTTTACTCGGCGAATTGAAGCAGGTGTTGGCGTCGCAAGTCCCCTTCGCGGAGAAGTTGGCCAAGGCCATGGCTCAAGTTTGGGGCTGAAGAATCGAACCGTGGAGTCAGGCATCAGAGACCCCCTGCTACACTGAAAGTCTCGCAGGCCTCACTTTGAGGATGGCAAAGGGCGGGTCTCACTGTGCGCTTCGCTGACTTCCTGTGTCCTGTGGTCAGGTCAAAGCAGCCGCGACGGAGATCTTGACCGTGCCTTGCTTGGAGTTGGTCTCCGGTCTCCGGCTCTTGATCGAAATTGATCTGGCCTGCTTAAAGTCACACCATGCTGCTAGAGATGCCACCGCGCTCTGCGAAGTCCTGGTTGTCTCTCTGCGGTCCTAGGCCCCACCCAGCGAAGGCGAGGCCAAAGTGCCTTCCGACGAAGCCAAGAAGGTGTTCGGGCGGCCAAGAAATGTTTCAACAATTCTCACACTGGCCCATGAGTCTTAATGGGTGTAAGCCGCTGTTAGCCTTCTCAATTCAGGATTTGTACTGAGTTTCGGGTGTGTGTGTGTGTGTGTTCTTGTCTTGAGTATCTGTCAAGGAACAGATTCCGTCGTGAGTTTAGAGCTTACCAGGCTACTGTTGTTGGCATTTGGACGGCTGGGACGAGAAGCAGATCAGTAAAAGCGATAGGATAACACTCATCGCCATGTTCCTGAAGCATACTTGCAACCTTTCTCTGTCCAGCAGTCTGGAACTCAAATAGTTCCTCCCAAACAACAGAACATAATCGGTGGAGAGCAGAGCAACGTGGCAGCTTTTCTTGCTGCGGCCACAGAACCTGGTGGGAACGTCATGTGACAACCAGGACAAAAAAGAGAAGAAGAAAGACAAAAAGGTGCTGCCGCCTCGTGTCCCTGTGTGCCTAGTACAGTGGGGCGCATGTTGAAGGCTTCTGTCCAGACGAGTTGAGCATGACGGCTGGCAAGGCAACAGCACAAGAGCTGAGCTCGCATGTAGCACATCAGGACAAAAAAGAAAAGAAAGACAAAAAGCTGAAGAAAGACCGCGACGGACTGTTGCCCCCGCATCGGTACATCATGTCTTGCCTTCCCGCAGAGCACTCCGATTGATTCCGAGGAGGTGAAGGCAAAGAGAAGAAGGAGAAGAAGCCCAGCCCTCAGCCTTCGGCGAACCCGAAACGGCTCAGAGGCTCTCGGAGAGCATTTCAGATCTGCGTCTCACTTTCACAAAGATCGGAATTTGAAGGGCACACTGTGCTCGGAGGAAGCGACAGCCTCACTTCGCGACATTCTTGTTCTCAGTATTGCGCCGGTCTGAACTACAGGAAGGATAAGGAGAAAAGGAAAGAGAAAAAGAAAGAGAAGAAGGCCCGGCTCCGTGATTTGGTCAGCCGGGGTTCAAAGCCAACAGTTGTTGCAGTTACAGATAGCTTTGATGGCGATCCAGTCAAGTGCTGAATCCTATCCAGAGGAGAAGCAGAGCCAACTGCCGAAGCGACCAAAGCCTGAAGCAGACGCAGCAGAGGCTTCGCTCGTTGCCCGGAAATTGGCCCCAGAGCTGGATAGTTAATTCAATTTCGTATTTAGTTCGGGAAGGGGCTTCATCGTGAGAGCTTGGGCTTTCAGACGAGACATCGCCGGTTCGGGCCTGGCTCTTCAGTGGGGACACGGGGTGAAGTCGGTGTCCCCGGGCCCTAGTGGCCCTAGTGCAACAAGCCATTATTCGAATGGTATGCGGACAAGGAGCCGTGCCATCCTTGCGGAGTCAGTCCCCCGCGAAAGAACAGAGTCGTAGCCGCGATGCGGCTCCTTCAGCGGAGCTCCGTTTTTGAAGGAATCTTGAGAGTCGACACGTTAAGGGGGCCCAAGATGCCCAACTGTTTGGGACATTTGCGGGAAACAGCCCTCGGCTGCAGGCTGAAACCTTCATCGAGGAGGAGGAAGAGGAGGAGCGAGAATCTCTGTGTTTCAAACAATGCGCGTTGGGGTCTATTGTGCTTTATGATGCTTTATGTACCTCAAGCGAGCACAGCTGAATACAGATCATGTGTCTCTAGCACCTAAACTGTCATGGCACTCCGGGTTGAGGCACCTAAAACCGGTGAAGAGAAGCATGCCAAAAAGACATTCACGAACTGCGATGAACATGCAAGGTGAGTTTACATATGGATTGCGGGCAGTACTGACTTTGCCGTGACACCATGTTGCGCAGGAATGGAGACGGCACTAAGCCTCACTAAATCCTCACTGAGCCCACTAAGCTTGATGTGCAAGTCCGAAGAGATATAGATCCGAAACGCTGCCGTGCTTGAGCAAAGAAGCAAAACCTTTCGCACTTCCATGAGGAGATGGTTGACATTGACGAGGAGGTAGAGGCAGCAACTTGCGCTTCCACGCTTGATAGACATGCTGGACGCATCATTGGGGCTTGCCGCTGCTCTCTGAGCCCGGAACTCTACGCTCTCCATGTTGCGACTCGTATACTTCGAGCAGTAACGGTGTGTCAAGCTGCGGGGCAGTCACCCATTCCTCATTGGCCCCGCCTGGCGGTATGCTGAGCTACCAAGCTCTCGACTGAAGGTGGTCTTGGAATCTTGGAAAGACGGTTGAGCAGTGAGGTGGCGAAGTCTCTGACACAGCCACAAAAGGCTAGGCCCTGCCCGCTGCCCGAACTCTCGCAGGTGCTGGCCGAAGGGGAGGTTGTGGGACTCATGGGCAGCTCCTCGCCGGGCAGCCCAAAGATGTTGTCTGGGGCACTATCTGGGCTTCATGTACTGGCGACACGATGAAGCTGCTCTTTCAAGTGCATCGCAATGGCTGTGTGCGCAGCCCTGCAGATGTAGTACGTAATGGCGTCATTAGCTGGGTCCGCAGACTTGTGTGCCTACCGCGCCAAAGCTTGTAACACAGCTGCCAGTGCCACGCCCAAAGAAAGGTCCTCGTCCAGCGACACAGCTCGGGACTTGAGTTCCAACCCGGCTTGGGTGTTGCGGAGAGTAGGCACCTGAAGGTCGGGGCCTGCCGTAGAGTTGTAAGAACTAGCGAAAGTATGGCCTTGGAATGCGTGGAGGTCAAGCCCGAAGGTGGCAGAGTCAAACCACTGCTAGCAGCCCACTCCAAGTCAAGGATTACGGCGCTGACGCGCTGGTCGAGCTGCCAATGGACGTGTCGGCACCAGATGAAGTCAGCGACGCCCGGGGCTGACATCATCGGAGAGAAGCTGATGTAAGTTACTTGCTGGTCTCATTGACACGATATGCTTTGAATGTGCATGGAGTTCATGCTGTCCCGGACAAGCCCTGCAAGCATCGTGCAGAAGAGGGCTTCGGTGGCAGTCACGGTGATACGATTTCCAGGATTAGCGCGTAAGAGGCAGCTGCAAAGTCCAGTTCACAACTCTAGAGACAGCTGGTTATGTGGGCTGAAAAGCAGCAGACCTGAGCTGCCCGAGCATGCCCTCCATGTCCGAGAGTTGCTCAGCCTTTTGCTTGAGAACCATTCGCTCTGCTTCGCTTAGGGCGACGACGTCGTCTGCGACGCCCCGCCTGGAGCTCACATCACTGCAGAAATCAAACAGAGCAACTCGCCTCCTAAGCTTTTTACGCAGATTGATGACATCGCCCCGCCAAAATGTTTCCAAAGCTCCCACGCCCTTCCTGCACTCAGCTTCTCACAACGACACGGCTGATAGTCCGAGGACACCCTTGCGGCCACTGAAGGGCAAAGGCAAAGGTAAGGGCAAGGCACAGAATTCAGATGGGCTTGGGCTTGCGTGCATTTCAAACTCACGAATATGGCTTGGGGGGCCAGAGCGTCTTTGTCCGAAGCGCCTGACGAAGCAGCCAGATTCGAGATGATGTTTGTCTGCCCTCCAAGACCCTGAACCTCTCCACCCCGTCCCCACAAAACCCGCAAGTGTGAACATAAAGAATACTACACTCGAGAACCTGCCCGACCCCAGCAGCAAAATGATGGCCAGCTGCTCCTCCGGAGCCGCGGCCGTGGTCCTCCCTGTGCTGCACGCGGCGTGCTGCCGCCGCCAGGGACTTGATGGGGCCTTCGAGATCTTCGAATCAACTGGATTTCAGTGGCAGCTCAGCCGTGTCACTCTTTCAAGGTTGCGGACTTTGGGCCGAACGAGCTATATTTGGGCTTCGTTGCCATCTGGTGTTGCAGCTTTCGTACTCCAACACGACATGGCACCGCACACAAAGGTCGGGTCTTGGATTGATGGCTTCGAGCTCGCTCTAGCTCCCTCAGCAGCACCATTTTGCAAGTGTGTCCGAGGTTGCGCGGCCTTCCGCGCAACCTTCCTCGCAGCCCCCCACCCAAAGGCCAGTTTCCTAGCGTGTCCGGCCTGGAACCTGGAGCCATGTGGGGTCTCGACTTGGGTACATTTCTCTGCCGTTGCGGGGTCGTTTGGCTCCGTCGCATGCGACTTACTCTTTGGTAAGGCTCGATGGTGTTTAGGGAAGGCGAGTGGGCAACTTGGAACAAGCTCCACTGCTAGATACGGTATGGAAAGTGCTACAACCCTTGCACGTCCTGCCTCCGTGTTGATTGCGGCTGCCGTGAGAACGCTGCAGGGAGCTCACTTGGGCCATAATTTTATGCAAGCACACAGTATTCTTGTCATCTCTCTTCGCCGATAAAGATTCGAGCAGTGAGCTGTGAGACGTGCACCACCAAGACTCTTAAGTGCCTTCCTTGTTGCTAGAAGGCGCTATCGACCTGGATGACACTGCGGTGTTGGATCTGAGCTAGTGAGCCAGCCTTTAAAAGCCGTCATTCCAGGGAGTGCCAAAGGACATCTGCCAGGTTTGTTCAAGATGGGGATACTTACAGAGGCCATTATGTCGGGTCTGTTCTGCTGGTCGGGCACGTATTGTACACTCAAACCCATGCGTCGACAACCAAACACTTTAGTCGTTTCGCAAAACCCGTGGCCGGTGCTCAATAAGCAGAGAGGGGACTCAGAAGGAACCCAGAATAAATTCTTGGGAGTGGGCATGACGGACTCCCAGAAAGCTCATAGCAGTGCAGGCACATGGCCCACAGGTAATTCTGAAGGTCGTGAACTAGTGACGCCAACTCGCTGCGACAGGCGTGCTATGCAGAGTTCTTGCAGCAGTTTGGGCACAAAACTGTTGTTGCATCTTCTCTCTTGCTGTGACATCAGCCCCATGACCAACACGACTCTTGACAGCAGAACGGCAGTTCGCTAGGTCTCCCGACTAGCCACAGCTGACTTTGCCAGGAGTTTGTTGTCCACAACTGAAGTTTCGTCTCGGGTCACTCGGGTCACTAGCTATCTCTGATGCTCTTCAAGAGATCCAGTTTGGCATCTTCTCGAATCCGGCAGTCACTGGAGTGAGGACTCCTCTCACACATCTCTCCACGACAAATGCTGTACCCTCCACACTTCCTGCCTTCATGCGGTGTCCCGGCGAATCTAGAAACTGTTGCAACGCCAAGGGCGAGTGCGCGTTGCCAGCCGCATCTTGCTTGCACTGGCAGGTGTTCTTTAGAATGCAAGGGAAAACTTCAACACCTCGCCGTCTTGGGTTAAGTTACACACGGCTTCCTCTTCTTCGGCATAGACTCTTGAAATGCCGTTGTCGAGGTGTCTCACGTGAGGGCATGCAGCCCTCATACCAGATCGAACAGATTCCCAGCATCGGAAAAATTCCAATGGCCATAACAACTTCCCTCTGAACGGGATCATCACCTTCGGAGTGCACATTTTGGCCGGCCACCGGACTTTCCTCAGCAGCGGGCCTTGAAAACCAACCCCCGCAACCAGAAATTACTAAAACGCCTAAGTCTCATGAAGAAGGACATCCTTCTCCTTGGCTGTGATCTAAGAATCAGCTTCGCCTTGAAGCGTTCCGATGCCGCGACGCAGAACGGAAAGGAGCCTTTGGAGTTTCACTGAGGGCTGGGAGACATCGAAGCTGGCTTTTTCAGTTTCAAAGTTGAGAAACTGGCGCTGTGATGATTCGTGATGTTGGCAGGACGTCCCCAATGTTCTGAGCTCAGGGCGCAGCATCTCGCGCACGAAGACACCGACCAGGACAGGTACTTTCCGCAGGTTTGTAATGTCGAGTTTGGCACTGAGAGCTGTCTCCAATACGTACTTAGTCTAACACTTCCAAGTGGTTTGGGACTGTACCATGTGCTGCGCTGTCCCTCTCATTCCGGCATTTTCGCCACGGACCTCGGTATAAGGGCTGCCCGCCGTCCTCTCGCGAGGCGCAGCGACCGGCGCTTCCCGGCCGACACGCCAGCCCGCAGCCGTAGTCGGCGCCACGAGCGTGAGGGTCGCCGGCGCCGCCGCCGCCGTCATTCCCGCGCACGTCGCAGCTCCAGCTCAAGCCCAAAGGCTTCTGGGCTCGAAAGGGCGATGTGCTTCGGGCTTGTCTTGCGTGGAATCTAGAACTATGCTTGCATGGAATATGCTGCTCAGACAGGGATGGGAAGGTGCAGGTGAAGGGAACTATAAGCCTAAATGTGACACACGGGAGCAGAAAGGTTGACGAGGACGCAAAGTGATCATGATGGCTGGTGCTACAAGAGCACAGGCAAGACAATCTTCGGAAGAGCAGCAACATCTGCAGCAGCAGTCTTAGCAGTAACACGAAAAGTCTGCAAAGGCATCAGCAGCGATACTCAGAATAGCAGAAGCAGCATCTCAAACAGCAAGAATGCTGTTAGCAGCAAGCGCCCAGTAGCATCGGCAGGTTCAGAGTATACCGCAACCCCAGTCCTCGAGGCCAGATCCAAACGCGAGGATGCACTGAGCCGCGAGAGGAGTGCGGAGAAGGCAACCTCAGAGGCTCCCATGGAGACAGAGGCGCGGAAGGTTGTAAGATTGTAGGAGTTGTTGTCGTAATGATGCCACTTGTGGGTATTCCGTCGTATAGCTCTTTTATCCGGGAGCTGAAGCACGGGCGCTCCAAATTGAGGCTATTTAGGCTCTATACTATATGTGAAGGACTGTTCGAAAGAAGGGCTGTCAATCATAGCAACCCCGCATGCTCATACATGAGCAACACCTACTTACACATACACACACATGCACATGTAGATACCTGCAGATACGTAGATAAATACAAGTTTAAGAGACGGGTAAACTAACAATAGAAAGTACATAGTGATGTATGTGTGTATGCATGTGCGTACGTATGTATGTATGTACGTATGTATGTGTGTATGTGTGTATGTGTGTATGCATTTGTGTAGGTATGCAGCGGTATGCTCGTAGTCTCTGACTCTGATACCATATGTGCACCAATCTCAAGGCGCCTTCCGTCACGGAGACCGTGCTGCCGGCACGTGTAGGGCCAGGATTCTTGGACAACGAGTCAACGAGTTGTTTTCTTCAAGATAGGCGGTGGCTTTGGGCTTTGTGTTTTCCCTTCAGGGTAAGGTGTTGAGCCTGCCCGAAAGTGAACCGGTGGCTTCCAGGATTGCCCTTTCTTTCCTTCCGAGAGTTTGTCCTGACGCAACCGATCGAGACCGTTGACGCCAGGAAGCCGGAACAGCTTCTCGGAGCAGTGGGAAACAGGGTCCATTGCTTGTCGAAACCCGGAATTCCTAAAGGTCCCCTTGGAAATTACAGGCTTGGGCGGCACAGGGCATAGAAGTATGTTGCAAACAGGTCAAACCCATGGCATGGCTCGAGCAGTGTACAAACGATACATCTGACAAGGTGCCGTTTCTCCACAAACTCAGGCTCGTTGAGGAGTACAAGGTCTACGATGGGGACCACAAGCGCGACTGCCAGGAGCGGTATTGGGCAGCCCACACGGAGCCTCGGACGTCAAAAAGCGCTTTTCGGTGTCCGGAACAAGGTTTCAAGACCCTTACTCGCAACTCGCAAAGGCATGTAGAAACGCTTCGCATCTGCTGCCCCTCGCCAAAACAGAACTTCCCAGCCCTTCACATTAAGGCCAAATCTCGTTGTATCCAGCCCAAAGAGTCAGCATACTGTATTAGCAAGAAGCCTGACACCACATTCCCCACCATGCTCCCAACTCAACTCGACAGCAGCTAGCAGCTGCAGTACAAGGACGAAATGATGTTCACGTCTGATTAGTAGTGTTGATGATGATGATGGTGATGATGCTTATGATGATGATCCTGCTCTTCGCGTACTGCGCTGGCACTTCTTCGGTTGCTGTCGCGTCGCCGGTTGCTGCCGCTGTGGACGACGGTACCATCAACCAAGAAGCGACGACTGTGGCAGCAATACCAATAGCAACAGCAACAGCGAAGCCAACGACAACGACAAAAGCAAGAAGAAGAAAAGGAATAACAAATGCAGCAAGTAGCGTCGGCACCAGCAGCAGCGCCTGTGACAACAGCAGCAACAAATGCAATCGTACCAGCAATAGCATCCTTGGACATTCACACAGACGAAACCACCGCCGCCACTAACATCACTAGCCCCACGCCAGAACCATGCACCAAGATCGTTTACATGCCAAGCCTTTGTAAATGCCTAAACCGAACTCCAAATGAAAGGATCAGGGCATCCTCCGTGACTCCTATCATCCGGAGAACCTGCGGCGTTTGTGGAAGTGGCGGTGCGACCGCAGCAAGCAGATGATGGAGCACTTCTGGAATGCTTTGGACCCTTGGCCTCACTACCAAGATTCCAGTGACGAACTGCCTTTCCGAGTGTGCATCAGCACTGTTGAAATTTGAATTTCGCATGGATTTCGATTACACATCCAAGAGCTCTTGGTGTCTTTCCCGAACCTTTAGAACCGGCACGAGGCCAGCGGCAAGTTCGAAAAGCTGCACTTGTGCTACAAGAGCTCAACGTCCATGGAAGGCGGGATGCGATGCGGCGAGTTTGGCCACTGGTGACCTGAAGCAGAGATGTGCAGAGGTGATCTGCCCGTTTCTTGCAGGAACTTGGAGCTTCATGAAATGGGTAAATGCGATGATTTTTTCTATATTTATAGCAGCATCTTATTCCCTCTCACCCTCTGTTGCTTCCCGAAACCGGCTGAACCCCAACCGCTGCCCCCTCCATGACCCTAAAATCACTGTTAACTGTTAGCACTGACGTGCAGTTGATACTACGGTGATTACCAACCTGACCGGACCGTTCTGGTAACGATTCTCATTACTGTTATCATCGGTGCTTCGGTTGCCCATCTTCGGCGCTAGAGTTGCGAAGGCTATGGTTGCAAGACTATTGCCACTGGTTGCCAACGTTTCTCATTATTGTTATCATCGGTGCTGCTGTTGCCCAATATCGACCCTAGACTTACGAGTGCTATGGTTACAAGCAGAATGACTATTGCCACTGACGTCGTACAGCTATCTTCTTGTTGCTCTTGGCGTTGTTGTTATTCCAAGCTAGCGCGGCACTAGCACCAGTACCACAAGGTAGTGGTGGTAGTGGCAGCGGCCGTGGTAGTGGTAGTGATCGTGCTAGGGGTAGTGGCAGTGGCGGGAGTAGTAGTGGTCGTCGTTGTGGTGGTGGTGGTAGTGGTCGTCGTCGTTGTGGTGGTGGTGGTGGTGGTGGTGGTGCTGGTCGTGGTGGCAGTAGTAGCAGTGGCAGTGGTGGTGGTGCTGGTGCTGGTCGTGGTTGTGGTCGTGGTCGTGGTGGCAGTAGTAGCAGTGGTGGTGGTGGTGGTGGTCGTGGTCGTCCTGGTCGTGGTGGTCGTGGTGGTGGTGCGAGTAGTCGGGGTAGTAGCAGTGGTGGTGGTCGTCGTAGTTGTAGTCGTAGTTGTGGCAGTGCAGTAGCAACAGGAGTAGGACTAGCGGTAGGAGGAGTAGTAGTCGTCGTCGTGTTAGTAGGGCCGTAGGGAATCGACTGTTAGAACAACCCTTTTCCTTTCGGAAAGGTCACGCCCTTGAGGAAGTCCGCAAGATCAAGCTCCCCAAGAAGCAGCTACTCGGTTCTGAACAGCTTGTCCGCAAGAGGTCCTAGAATATGTAGTCTAGCGCACATACAGCAAGCTGAAACCTGCGGAGCAAGAGTGTAGAAATTGTTGCTTGTGTCAAAACAGCACAGGAGGGTTGAACATGGAAGCGCAAAGGCTGCAGGACCTACTTTGCCTCCAGCAAGAGCACGTTCTGGTGTTGGAGGACGTTCCGCGACAGGCCCGCGTACGGCTTCTGCTGGGTACAGTCGGTACAGTCGATGGATCTCCGGGTTGGGCTGTTGGGCTTCGAGGTTTTCGTTTGGCGGATGAGCAGCCTTCGAGCGACCCTAGCAGCGCACGCAGGTGAGCATTTGGGACATACACGATCAGCTGTCGCAGTTCAGTGGATTCGAGGACCGTGGAGGTCTGTTTTCCTGTGCATTCCACAGTCCATGATCTAGGCTGAAGTGGCGGTGCTCAACAGTCGTCTGATCCCTCGCACCTCGCAGGATGCATTCTTGGGAGGCCGGGACTTGGCACAGGTCTCGCAGGCCGGGTCCCCGGCACATCCAGGGTACGAAAAAATGCCTTCTGGGGGCAGTGCTTGGGAAGACATCGTCCTTGAGGACAGGGGCTCCCGGTTCTGTTGCCCTCAGTGCGAGCTGGTCGGGTTGTGAGCGCCTGAGCTTTCCCAGGCAGCCTTTGCGCACTTCTCCTCCGAGCTCGACCTCAAGGCGAGGCCGAGGGTTCTGACGGCGGCTGCGCGCTTGCCCAAGACCTGCAGCTTCGGCAAATGTGAAGCTGAAGCACTCACGGTCCTGCGTCCATTCCTTAGAGGAAGCCGGAACCCCACTGTCGCGAAGCCTGGCTGGTCCAAAGATGCAATGATTGCGAAACGGAAACCCTAACATGGCGAAGCTCGGTCTGTGCATTTTCAATTCCGTGGAAAACATCTGCATGGGCACATCGACACGTGGACTAACGGGTCCGACTGGATGCCTACGACGAAATGACAAGTCGCGTTGAGGCGGCCTCGAGTGCCTTGAGCGGTGGCCTGGCTTTGGGCGACGTGCAGCTCCGGGCCAAGGCTGTGGAGCGCGAGGGCGAGGACAGCGAATTCGAGGCGGGGGAGGAGAGGAGGGGCCCGGGCCACCCTGTCAGATGAGCATGTGCAAGAGTTGCTTGCGATCACTTCACATCTATCTCACGCCACTTCTAACGCACCGCCTTCGTAAACGCCTTGAAGTCTCAAGCGAGGTTCTACACCTGGATGTTGAAATTCCAGGTATCACTCATCCCTGCAACCGCGGACGCGGAGCGTGTGGAGGAGGACCAGCTTGCAGAGATTTTCCTCAAAAGCCTCAATTCATAATAAGTTCCGAATCATGCAGGTGAAGTTGCAGAGCATAAAGAGCAAGCTACTGGGCCGTTTAGCCATGTCATGCGTTATTCTTGAACAACATATCGAACCACGTCGCTTCTAGCAGTCGTGGGAGGCTTGCAGAGTGGAGCCTGTCTTTTTGAGTCAGCAATCACAGCCTCATGCGCTCACCAGGATTTGGAGCTGGCCAGCCAACTTGTTCGAGCACTGGATTCGGCCGTCACTCGGCCGGGCGTCTTTGGAGCACTCCTTTTCCAAGAAGGGCGCCGCGTCCGTCTGCGTAGCTTTGGAAGTCGTAAGCAAAATCGAAGCTTCTGATTAAGCGACATGCTTATGTTGGGTGTGGGATGTTTGCATGGCACAGAGCTCTGAGGTTTGCATCCCTACCGAGGACACTGAGAAGGCTGCGGATAGTCCTGCCTCTCTCATAACTTAATCTAGCATTCACCTCCAGAAACTTGCTATCACTATGCAAGACTACAAGTTTCGAGGTTTCCAGCAGATGTTCGAGGCTGAGAGGTTGCAGGAATTGCCGAGGAAGCACCGTATCTACCAATCTGTCTGCCTTCTGTTGCCCAATCCTCATTGAAGGGAGCCTGGCGAGTAACACAGGTTCTCACTTTGACATATGATGGCCGATCTCAGTAGGACATATGATGACCACGAGAATCAATATGGGCATACGGTTCTGGTGGTCCAAGTTAAGGCAGTATCGAAAAGAAGCCGGAGACAGAGATGTAAATCGCAGTCGTTCTGCAGAAGGTGGTCATTGAACACGACAGTATCTGCCTCAACGAGGACTAGAATCGTCAATACGGCTGCTCTGACGTTGATGAGATGAAGGTCTTTCTCCAACGTATTACTGATGCACACATGGCAACCATCAGTCTTAGAAAAAGTTTAACTTCTACATGACGACGAATGTCAATTTTCATATCATCCTTACTTGCAGTCCCTTCTAGTGCTCTTATCGCGTCAGCACCAGCAGCTACAGGAGGGTCGTCGTTGCTGCCGCAGCACGTCGCAGCAGTAGCAGGAGCAGCAGCGGTAGCAGTTGCGGTGGCAGTTTCACTAGTAGTAGTTGTAGTAGTAGTAGTAGTAGTAGTAGTAGCAGTAGTAGTAGTAGCAGCAGCAGCAGCAGCAGGCAGGAGCAGCAGCAGCAGCAGTCGCCGGAGTAGTGTTTGTGATCTCTTGGGAGGTCGCTGCAGCCATCATGGCCGTGCCTGAGGTCGAGCATCGACTGGACTTGCAGCTTTGCGAAGATGCATCGCATGATCATGACAGTAATAGCATCAGCAGCAGTCGAAGTAGCCGCAACATGCCCCGCCATTCGGCCCAATTGGGGTTTCTAGCTGCTAGCGGAGTCCGTCCAAATCGGCAATGAAAGAACCCAGCATGATGTTAAGAGACGCTACAGCGTGCAGAACCAGTGTGACAGCGGTGGCCGCGGCAGCTCAATATGCAGGACATGTGCGTCCACGATCGGCAGTAGCTAGCTGACACAGGGGACGTGGATGTTAGAGGGAAAAGACAGCGAAACAGTCTGCCTCCAAGACACATCTCGTAACCTGCCGCCAAGGCACATCCTCTACCTTCGCACAGCGGCGGGGCTGAAGGATCCATGGTCGTTTCTTCTCAGGCTCAAGGTAGTACGAACAGTTTCCGTATCTGCATGGAGGACCTCGAATATGACCTTGATGAATGTACTTGCCACTCGTTTGTTGCAAGCGCCATGTCAAAGTCGACCCCAACTCTGATCGATGGCATGTCGATACACTAGCTGCCCCAAACTGGGATCTTGCTGTTTCGAAGTGCTTTGGCCGGCAGGATTACCGTGAAACTTACACGAAATCCTGTGCTCTCAGGTACACAACTGCTGCTTCTACGGCGGCGAGTGGCGACCTAGCTGAATTTCAGAACTGCACAGGTAGGCTTCCGAAACAGGGCTGGCACCCCATATAGTCCCGGCGATGTTTTGTGACGTGGGCGGGTTTTGGTGCATTTCCGGTCAGGTGCTCCGATCCGTATGAGCTCCGTCGCCGTGCGGGAGCAGGGAGCCTCCGACAGGACTGTGGGCCTTGGGTTGAAGGGGCCACGGATGTTTCCTTGCGAGCTTGGGAATCAGGAATAGACGTAAAAGCAAGGGTAGAATCATTGGAACTGGTTGTCGTCCAGACTCCACGAGGGATCGACCACAAACGTGATGTATCCATTTCGCGGTCGGTTTGCCGACCTGCTGAAAGGTGCGGCTGCGGGTCCTGCGCAAGACAAAGAGACAGAGAGTGAGAGTGTGTTCGTGTGCCTTGCTTTGCTTGCGTGCTAAGAGTGAACAGCCACTGCTTGGCTCGCGAGGCAAGAGAGCACTTGGCTTTGTCCAGCTCCACATGGATTTCAACTCACTGTGAGCCGCTTGCCGTAGAGCTGCGGGCAGCCGGGCCGGGAAGGTGTCGGATTGGGCAGTATTGCTGGATGTCACACACCCGCGTGAGTCTTTCGATGTTCATGGGAGAGGTGCTGCACACGCGTGTGATGAAGCTTCCAGCTTGCTCAGCTGCCTGCTAAGATAATCCACAATCAGCCGCTCTTCCAGCATGTTGAGTACCAAGCTGCACGCCGTATGCCCGGCCCTGCTAGCTGTTGCAAGCACGACACTTTTGCTAAGTCTCCAAAGCCAAGCGCCCAAATCCCCGAGGCGCATTCGCAGCTTGATCGCCCGGGCAGCCGAAGCGGCCAAGCCGCCTCCGGCAAAGCCCTCTTCTGAAGAGGCAGCGCCGGAAACTCGTATGATCGGACTATATCGGGCTTGTAGTTAAGAGTAAGAAGTTGATCCACGGCAAGGCTACAGAGACTCCGCAAGACCATGGGCCCCATAGACTGTACAGTAGCATATGGCAGCATGAAGGGTCATGAGCACACAGAAATGCCCGGCGCATATGACTGCAACACGGGCCTGCACAGGCATCTGTAAGAAACATATGAAGCAGGGGCAGGGTGGAAGGCGAGGGGAGTGATACATGGATAGACGGATGGATAGATTAATCATGGATAATCATGTTCACATAGCCATCTTAGAAGGTGCCCATTTACTGCAGAAGACCAGGGGGGGCCTCGGACTTCTGGGAGATCTCTCGGCTCCAGGAACCCTTGAAGAGCCAGTGGCTGCAGTGCTGCGAGGCCCGGCGGGACCCTCTGAAGTCATTTTGGCTTTCAGGAGCTTCGCATAGCCTCGCGACTTCATTTTTGCCTCGATGCTTCTCCTTAAACATTAACAAGTGGTAAAACACCAGCGAAACCTCCACTAGACCAAGCAGGTAAGTTTTCAGGTCTCGGTACTGCTTGTACTTTCTGCCATGGTGCACGCTGGCAGGGTCTTGCCATGTTCGACACGTTTGGCCCCTGGTTGTTGCAGGAACTCACGAAGAAAGAGGCAGAGCCTTGGACCGATGGGCCAGTGCGGAAAAAATTCAGGGTGTGGGATTTCATCGAGCTTCTCAAGAGTCAACCCCGTGCTCCGGGCGTTTATCCCAAGCTTCGGGATTTTGCTTCGATTGCCTCTACTAGTCTTGATGTCTGTCGGGCTTTCAGCTTCGGAAGCTCTTGACATCCCAGGAGGATCGATTCCGCTGCACCCGCTGCAAGAAGCTTTTTCGTGGAGTGCCTGGGATGAACTCTGCATGAGATACCGTAGCAGATTTGCGGCGCCTAGGTCTGGAGCTAGAGTTATGCGTCATTTTCCTCTCGGGGCTCGTAGGCTCTCAGCTGTTGATTGGTATTGCAGTGGGACTGGGCAAGCATCCACGTACCCCCCAGTGTAGTGTCGTTTCGACCGGAGTTCAGGCAAGCTTCCCCTCTACAAGCACGCCCTGCTAGTACTTTCAGTCGTCACCTCCAACGGCAGAGTCCGAGTTCAATACTGACTTCTCGTCATGGTCCTAAGGTCAACTTCTTGCAGAAACACGTCTTCAAGGTCCACCTGGAGGCCAAAAGGGTTCATTTCCTGGCCAAAGAGCCAAGGAGAGGGAGGAGCAATACTTCCTCCCCAAATGAGAGAGCATCAAGTGAAGGTGCTGGGAGTCTGTAATTTAGCTACAGGCCATCGGTTCCAGCGGCTTCTGGCTGTAGAGTTGTCAACCATCATCCCTGCGAAGTTCTAGGGCGAAAGGAGCCCAGGTACGGACCTCTATGCACAGAGTTCTTCGTTTTGAGTGTCTGTGTGTGTGTGTGTGTGTATCCGTGTATATATCTATATATAGGCGCATGTGTGTCTTGGTGGCCGTATGCGTCGCATTCTGATACGTAAGTGTGGATGGCGGCCCAGCCTGACGCCGCCAATCGAGGGATGCTCGGAGGCACCGAAGGAGGCGAATGGCCGTAGATTGTGGAACCTCCCAGCAGCAGGTCATGGCCAAAGTTGAAGATGATTTCATGGACCAGCAGATGAAAGAGGCCCGCTGAGAGCATGCTGTGAGAGACAGGACAAGCCTGGTTTGGCGTTTAGTGAAGTTTGAAGTCCCCCCTCCTCCCCTGGCACTCTTGCTCTGAGGATGCGCCTGGTATCAGAAAATGCCTTCTCGGTCAAAATCTGTCAGCCAGCAAAGCGGCATGCGACCCTGAATTCATCAGTGATATCGTTGGCCCTGGAGAGACTGTAGCCAGGCCTTCTTCCAAGATGCGACCGCGGCTTGCCAAGCACAGCGAGCGATGATCCAAAGCAGCTGAGGCAGCTTGGCTTAACTTGCTGGTACCTCACTCCATACAGCATCGAGGCTACGAAGAACAGGAATGCGATGAGGAACATGATAAGAAGGAGCAGTAGAAGTAGGGGTAGAAGCGGGACTGGCAGCAGAGTAGTAGGAGGAGTAGGAGTAGGAGCAGTAGGGCCAGTAGGCGTAGACCCTAAGCTGGTTCACCCTCAGAGTGTGAGTAGGCTTGTCGTTTTTAGGGTCAGGTAGGGTTTGCTTCCCACTCCCCTAAAGCGAGGACGTTCATAGGGCACAGTGTATCGCGACCTGCGGTCTTCAATAACCTCGGGACCTAGGCAACTGTTGTCTCCCGAAGCACTTCCTGTGCTCTCTGTGCGGCTATGCATTCCGTTCGATCCTGTGCCTGTCTCCAACTATGCAGTTTGGCTTGAAAGAGCCAGGTGACCCTTAGCAGCGCGTGGTGATTGGTAGATCCCTGCAGCTCCTGAACTCGACGGAGAATCAGCTATCAGCTCGTGGGGTGAGGCCTCGGGTGCACTTTGCCAGCATCCTCTCGATGACGCCCGGCCCCTAAATCAGAGGGTGTAGAGTTCCAGGAGCTCCCACGGCTGCATCATCACCGCACAGAGTCAGAGCCTTCATCGATACCCCGAACGGGGCCCCCCAACATCCCACCTTGCTGGGTAACTTCGTTTTCAAACGGAAGCCAGTGTCAAGAGAGGGCACCGACCCGAAGACCGGAGGGCGCCGAACCCAAAGACCGGGGTTTGGGGTGAACATTGAAACTTGAAACCCTACACATGGCTTCCCCCTGATATAACATCGTCTCCCCATAAGATAAAGGCCAACAAGCGAAAAACAGGAGAGGAGGAGGATGCGGATGATGACGCTGTCACTGTTTGTCGTTGTCGATGTGTTGTGTGGTTGTTGTTGTGGCTGAAGTGGTTGTTGTTGTTGGTGGTGGAGGTGGTGGCGGCGTCGTCATGGTTGTGGTTGTTGTTGTTGGTGGTACAGACAAAAGCAGCAGCCCGTAACTTATGTCAATTAGAAGCATTTGGGACTGCTTCCAGCGACCCCAAAGGGTGCCTGTACGGTTTCGGGGAATGCAAGCCATGGTTTGCACAGCATCTGCCGCATGATAGAAACGCGGCGTAGGTTGAGTGGTTGTTGTAGAGCGGGGGTCAAACCAACAGACGGGGCTCCAGTTTTTGTCGGTACAGACAAAGGTCCCATTGAAATCAGGACTTTGTCTCCACCTGCTGGTAGAAACATAAAGACAAAAACTGGAGCCCCGTCTGTTGTTTTGTGACCCCCCCTTTACAGCAACCACCCATGCTACACCAAGCTTCCATTGTAGGTATGGGAAGTTGCGAAGTGTAGGAGGGTGTTCATGGCATTTGCAAGGGACTTAACATTTCTTGGTAATGTTGTCATGGGAATCTGCAGGGTTTTATGGGGCTCTGCAGGGGCTTAAGGGTTTTAATCGGAGTTTGAAAGGGTTCGTCTGGAATTATCAATAAGGTGATGATTTTGATAGATTTAATGGGAGTGGGAATTTTAGAGGGTTGTTGTGGTATGCGAACAGGCATGTAGAAAGATCTTGACGCTCTGGCAAGCGTGGGCTTCAGGCGCTGCAGCCGAGGGCTGAAGCCCAAGCCTAAACCCCAAAATTTCGAAAACCGAAGACCGCAATCTTAAGCCTAAACACCCGTGAATCCTGGACACCTACCGTACGCGCCCATACACCTGTAATCCTCTGAACATCTTTGGAAATCCGCTGGAAAATCCTTGGAAATTGCTTGGTAATCCTCGGCAAATCCTTGAAAATCCCTTCAAACCCTGGGCGCCATAGTCGCCATGGCCGCTGTGGTGTTGTTGTTGGGGGGTAAAACAACACGACGGGGCCCCTGTTTTTGTCTCTGCCTAATGTACAGACAAAAAGGCAGATACATGGGTTGACAGGGCTGCAGTTTTTGTTTGTACCTTCTTGTTGTTCTTGTGGCGGTGGTCGTGGCGGCGGCGGTGATGGTGGTGGGGGTGGCGGCAGTGGTGGCGACGGTGGTGCTAGCGATGGTTGCCGTAGTTGCTGTGGTTGTTTTGGTGATTGTCGTGATTGTGTTTGTTGTTGTCATTGTTGCTGGGATTGTTGTTGGGAATGTGATGTTGATTGTGGATATGATTGTGGTTGTGGTTGTTGTTTTGATTTTCGACATGATTGTGGATGTGGTTGTGGTTGTGGTTGCAGTTGTGGTCGTTGTTGTTGGTGGTGCTGGTGCTGGTGCTGCTGCTGGTGGTGGGCAGCGGCTGCTGTTGCTGGTGCTTGTGCTGGTCTTGTTGCTGTTGTTATTTCCCGGCACTTTCCGATAATGTGTTGCCCTGCAGCTTGCCTCTACAAATGCTAGTGATGATGTTGTGAAGGAGCTGCCACGATCAGTGGAATGTAAATGTGAGCCCTTCCTTTTCAGCCCAGCCCAGCCCAGCCCAGCCCAGCCCAGCCCAGCCCAGCCCAGCCCAGCAGCCCCAGCCCAGCCCAGCCCAACCCAGCCCCCAGCCGAGCCCAGCCCAGCCCAGCCACCCCCAGCCCCAGCCCACCCCCAGCCCCAGCCCCAGCCCAGCCCAGCCCAGCCCAGCCCCCCAGCCGGCCCAGCCCAGCCAGCCCAGTACCGCTATATAGCCACCGCCCCCCCCCCACCATTCATCGTCATCATCATCATCATCATCATCATCATCATCCTCATCTTCTTCTTCATTATCATGATCGCCACCATCATCACAGTCATAATCATCATTGTGTTCCTGTTATTCTGCATTACCATTGTGTTGGTGCTCGTGGCAGTCATGGTCTTGGTCGTCGTGATCGTCCTCGTCCACCTTTTTTCATGGACCGAACACCTTCGTGCACGGAGCGCATGGCTGTGAGAGGGTCTTGAGGCGTCAAATGAAGCATGGTCGTGGGGCCCTGAACCAAATCCCAGCATCTGCGCGTGAATCCGTGCGGTTGGTGCACAAATCGGCACGGCTGGTTCGCGAAGCCTGGTGCTGGAATCCAGCACATTCAGCGCACCCCTCCTGCCTGTGGAATCTGCGGGTATCCCCGGCCCCGAAGCCCAAATCCGCGGCATCCGCGGCGTGGCCTCACGCCTTCGTGGATTTTCGGAAGCTGTGCTACATTGCGAGCCTCAGCATGACGCCCTTTAAGATGGCAAATACTGGCCGCAAAGGATCCAAGGATCCACAGAAGAAGAAGAAGAAGCGGAAACTCGAAGAGGCATGGGACAGCCAGGACCACAGCCCGAAGTTGCCAAACCTTAAACTCGAAAGCCCTCATTCCCAAATCTCAAGATTCGAGCTTGCCCGGGATCGAAAGCATGGTCTGCCCAGGTTCAGATTGCTCTCCGCCCGGTGGTCTGGACCCCGGAGCTAAAGGGATTGATCTTCACATCCGTGCAGGGCTTCGCTTGTGAAGGATTGACGACTGCTCAACGAATGCAATCTTGCAGAATTCGGGGATGTATCGGGATCCTCAGAAATGCGAAAGAAACGTGTCATCCTTGGGACTCGTCTTCGCCCTCGAAACAGACCTGCGGAAGTTCAAGCAAGCTGAATCGATCAAGCCACTGATCTCAACCTACACCTGACGAACATGTGCACGTCATTTTATTCGGCGTCAACACAAACATAGCCACCGTCCTCGCTACTATGCTGTCAGTATCAGTGCCAGGCTCCTTTTGCCAGCGGCCCTAGCACAGATGAAAGCATTGCCCAAGGTTCAGGTTGCAGAGGTTGGAGTCTCGGGGTTCTCTGATTGACATGTGCACTGTAGATCGCCATGTTGAGCCTTCCTGGTCCAGGCTTAAACCAGCGCGCAAAGTAGAAGAGTTCAGCCTCCACCGACGTGTCGAAGCCGTCGAACCCTCTACCCCTCAAGCTGAACCGGCAAGCTTGACACCGTTGCATCCAGAAACAAGTGTCTTTTCAGAAGAGCAGTTCTCCCACAGGCCGGTTTGCTTGCATCAGGTCGGATCTGCTGATGCGATCGTATTTCGAGCATAGAACATGCAGCTGGCGCAAGTTTATGGAAGATCAAGAGAGCATTGTGCTCACCGTAGCATGTGGAACGTTGAACTCCTGCGCGACACCTTCAATGTCATAACCGAAGGCACAGAAGCATGGGCCATCAGCTGTATGCAGGCTTTTTGGGTTTGCTCGCTGCCCTTCTTCGTAGCTGGCAGAGACATGGGGTCGCGACAAGCAGCTAGACTAGCTACTTCTAGCTGTGGTTTCAGATCAGCGACATGCGAGAGCTGCTGCTACTCTGCAGCTGAACAAAACTGTACCCTACCGCAGCACTACCCCACGAACTCAGACACGAATCGTAAGGTCCCCTTTTGAGGGATACATTCCAAGCTAGAAGACTAAAGTTAAGAGACTTGCAGCGATCTCACAAATGCCAAGACGAGCGTTCCGAAGGCAGCGCAGCAGCCTGCGATTCGCTCCGGCTGTGGGGAGTGTGTCAGATGGGGGATCTCTTGATCATCGCATGAGCCATAATTCTGAGGAGCTTTGATTCCTTCGAAGCTTTTGTTTACCCATCTGACACCAGGCCTGGAGCAGTCGCTAGCCAAACTCTGCGGCAGTTTGGAGATAGGGGCATCAGCACCGGAAGCCTAAATCCTTAAACTGCTCATCTTGGAAGTCCCTTGCGTTTCAACTCATCTTTAGGGGCCCCTCTTTGATGGAGACCTTGAGCCATTTTCGACTTGCTTCAGGTGCCATGAAGCCGCCTATCAAGACAAGTAATTCGTGGATCTCTGTTGCGCATTGGCGGATCCCGCTGTAGCATGCACCACCCTGTCAGGACCCAGTCAGGACCTAATTGGAAGACAAGGTGTTTTGATTAGTAGACGTGAACTTCTGGCGCAACTAGTTCGGAGTTTCACCCTAGGTGCTATAAGAAACCCTCTCTTGCTTCTTTAGCGAAAAAGGTCTCGACAGCATGTCGCACAGGGAAGAGACTGCAGGGCGAAAGTAGGCCGGACGTCAAAGCATCAACCCAAACAGCAAGCCGAAACACCCGGAAAGTCCTCAAAACATCAAGCTTGCAACACCAAGAGAGACTACAGCAGAGTCAGAGCCCGATTTCGTTCCACCTCCTTTGCAGCTACTGGGGATGGTACGAAGCTTTGCAGAACGCTAAGCTTCCAACACTCAGACAGACTAAACCAAATCAGAAACCGGTTCCCTTCCGCAAGAGCTGCCAGCTCACGAACTCCTCCGAAGTTTCTGCTGCACTCCACCTTTTCCTGTCGATTTGAGCCCAGAAAATGAGAGAACTGTACGTGCTGTTGGTGGCCGGGCAATCGATGCTAAATCGCGCATCCGAATGCGGCCGCACAGTCTTGAACCAAGAACAAGAAAAAACATACACCTAAAGGAACAACCCTAAGCCTAAACCCTATACAAATTCGAAGTTCAGCAAGCCCTTCACCGACGCTGGCCCTGCGGTCGACGGATTGGTGTATTCATCGTATGGTAAAGGAACTAATTGTGGGTGTCTGTGTTTTGTGTTTGGAGAGGACAGGAACGCCTCGGATTGCCCTGAGCTGCGAGGGTCGTTTTGCCATAAATCCTGTCGGTTTTGAGGACCCTTCTTGCACAGGCATTCTCTTGCAGTAACGAAAGCTAGCTAGCTGTTAGAGTTTGCACGAGTTCTTGTGCACTACCTCTTTGGGGACTCTCTTCCTTAAACCCGTGATAAATCGAAGGAATATTTGTTGTGGCCCCCACCCCCCGAAATGCCTTGACTAACGCTGCTCTTGGAACAAAAGTTGTTGGTGATAAAGCTGAGGGACCCCTCACAGTTGTGTGAAAGCTGTCCCTGTTGCCTTTCGGGCTAGAACTTGGTAGGCAAACGACCAACTTGAATTCGATGCCCAAGTTCCGAGTATCTGATGTGCCTCTGAAATTCTGAAAATCTTGTGCATGCCACAAAAGCTGCTAGCTCATAAACACCTCCGGCTCGTTGGGCACTTAGTGCCGCCATATGGGTGGCATAGCCGCTTCTCTCAAGATGATACCGCAGCAGTATGTCATGCTGACACAAGCGTAGCCCCAATTGGAATGTCCCTCCATCCCAACATGGTGACCAGGCAAGCAGACAGTACTGGGAAAAAAAGAACCTCCTCGTGGCTGTCAAGCGGTTTCAAGGCTTGGGCAGGTCAAAGATGAAAGCCGCTAGATCTTACGATAGCACACGCTTGCATTCTGATGTTGGCTTCGCTTCGGCGTGCTGCGCCGCTGGTCCTGGATGGTAAAGAAAGCGTTCAGGAGGCGACGAGTTCGAGCAGGAGGTCAGTTGGAGGTTCTCGTCTGGCTCGATGGCTATATAGTTGTGCGACCATGTCATTTGCGAAACATCCAGCTGCCGTCAGGAAAAGCGACGTGTACTGAGAGTGTGAATTCAAAGCAGAATGGCCCACGCTGGTTGTCGCACAGGTGCTACCGCAGCTCGAGGCTTTGACTTCGAGCTATTCTGCTCCGGCAGAGATCTTGGCCGTTGGTCAGAAGGCACGCGACATGTTGGAAGCATAAGACGGAGATTCCACCGGGTTAACGCATGGGGAGGTGGTGGCAGTGTGCCCACAGACTGATCAAATCACACTAACCTATGCTCTCAGGGGACCTTCACGGCGATGGAGCTGCTGGCAGCGTTGCGGAGGAAGGCAGGGATGTTTGCATGTAAGTAAGTAACCCTAGGGCAACGCACCCAGTTGGAAAAAGCAGATATCATGGACTTGGGATTGTAGGTTCACACCGCACAGGACGTCGTTGTCAGAGCGGCTTTGCAGCGGACGCAATAGCACAGGATTGCAAAAAAACAAAGAGATGCTGATGCTTGCCTCTTGTTGCTGACATGCCGCCGTGGTCCACAAAAAGCGAGGGCGAGCAACGCGTGGTGCCGTGTGTGCGGCTGACAAAGGCAAGGCCCTGCTTCCTTGCCTGGCTGAGATGGCTGATTGCAACAGCTTGAGATTGCGCCTTCGTTTTAAGGTTTTCGATAGACATTTGTGTGCCCCAGCGCCTTCACCGACCGTATGCGAACATGCAAGTTGGAACAGGTGGATGCCGCAACAGCCCGCATCTCAACGCCGTGATGCCTTTCTTGCTAATAGCATACACGATCAGGAGGTATATAGGGTTTGCGTTCCGCATGAATAGTGGGGAGCGTTATAAAACATCCACGTTGTTGTTTTGAACATTCGGCGGAGGTGTGCAAAGGACTCTGCTCTACTGAAACCCACTCGCCTGAGGTCGAGGCTGCGACGAAGCACCGGCAGACGTTTCGCATTCAAGGCGAGTTCTACCCGAGGTTGTTGATGGGGATCGCTTCTGCATGGAATTCAGGTTTTCCAGGTTGCAGAAGTTTCCATCCGACGTTTGGCGTCTCTCTGCGGATGTGAGTCGTTGATCGTGAGTAGGCACAGAGCCTCCTGCCCCCTTGCCGCCAGGATACAACCACTATCGGTTGGCGCTGCCCTCGAGCGAGAAGTGGCTGGATGTGTCCACTCTCTCGCGGTGGGACAGCTCTTGGGTGGCAACTTGAGAGCATAGGACGGCTTTCGAAGGGTCAAGCCACTTGAGCCTTGAATCTTACGACTGTTCCTCGAGCAAAGGTGCCGAGAGCGACAAGCTCCTGGTAGGCAACAACACCAGCGTCATGCCCTTGGCGAAGGCTTGGCTTGGCTTCTTCAGACTAAAAGTCTCTTTGTTACTCAGATTTTCTTGTGGCATGTGCATGTCTCGAAGTGGCGAATGCCTTCTTAAAGCGTACTTTGCAGCAAGAGTTGAGAGGCAACGGGATTGTCGGCGGGTCGGGTTGCGCTGGGGATATCGCAAAGAACTCGTCGTGCCACTATGGGAATGTGCTCTGTTTGGAAGAAGAACAAGACGATGGCAATGCCGACAGGCTTGAGAGTGACAGAGCAGTGATGACGAGAGTGAAGTGTCATTCGTGCTGATGAAGATCATGAGCATTGTATCCTTCGATGATGCCGATGGGTGCCGCGGAGTCCGGAAGCCCATCCCCACCAGCAAAAAGGCAAGAGCCGCAGCACTCCAACCAGCACGTACTTGCTCTCCTTTGCTCCGTCTAGAAGTGTTTGTTTTTCTGCAACCCCTTCAAATGTTATCCTTCCACAGCTCAAAATCCCCTGAAATCTATGAAGTTGGCATCCTGCAGGCGATCGCGGGCCGCGTCAAGCCATTGCCCGAGAACCAGGTGCTTCTGGTCGAGACTGTTTTGCGAGGCACCATCCAGCAGAAGCTTTTTGCTGCTTCCTAATCACAGACTTGAGTCCAAGGCCGAAGGTTTTTTCCTGTCATCATGGAACGTTTCAAAAGAGCAAGAGAGGCTTGGGCTTGCAGGCTGCCAGGGCAGGCTTGAGCAGGGGCCCAAAAAAAGCTGCACTCCCAAGACGAAGGCATCGAGACAAGGCTCGTTAGATTCTTCGAGCTGTGCTGGTCTCCAAGCCACTGTTCAGGAGACCGGGATCAGAAGCGGCGACTTGGCTGCAGAAAGTCCAGAGGCGCACACACACACACACACACACAATCCTTTGTGTTGTCTGGATGCCTTGATTGTGGCTTCACGCTATCGTATAGCCTTCAAGCAGGTCGCCGGAAGCCCCGTCAGTCCATCCGGGAGCCAAGCAACAGCCCGACTTGTGCGAGACAGCTGCCTTCTCTTCGGGTTGATTGTTCCACTGGGCTTGCTTCCTAAAGCCTCCATCGTAACCGTATCTATGTTCCTTAAAGATCCTCGACCCAGGGTAAACCTAAAAAAGCAGCCGCCAAGCCCGAGGCTGAGGGTGTCGCACCTGGCAAATGCTGTGGCGATCCTGGGCAACATCTTTGCTTGGGCACTGCATGACACGTCATCTCTAGGCAGCGGTTTTCCGTTTCGCATCGAAGTTCGGCCCATCTAGCACAGAGCCGCGAACTATTACACTGACACCAAGGAGAGCTTCCGCCTGGCAGGACGGGCCAAGGGTCGGTAACTGGCGAAATTCTCTTGCGGCTTGGGGTGGCTTTTATCTCGCGCAGCCACTGCTACTGCAGCCGATCCGGCCTATGACTGCATTAACTCGTGGGGAAACCCTTCACTAGGAACGAAAGACATTCGCTGTCGTCCTAACCAATCTGTGCAAGAAAAGCCAGATGACTCGTGAATGAGTCTGGAGAGTTTGGACATGTGGAAAAACTCAGTCACCGCTGAGCACCCGCTGGTGAGGTCAGGCCTGTGGATGCCACCAAGCCAACGCGGCCTTTTGATTGTGCCGTGCGGATTCGAACCACGGGGCACCCTGGGCGTAACTGGGAAAGCTTTGTTCTAGTCCCAGTCGAGGCCGCTGCATCATCTAATCTCCATGAAGGCCCTGCTGGCCCATCTCCTGCTGTTGTTTACTCTGCAGGTAAGTAGCCTGTCGTGCAGTTTTCGTTTCAACAGCTGCGCATGCTTATGCCAAAGTCCTGGTTACCTAGCTGCACTATCCGGTGCCGGCGACCATCGTCACCTTGTCATTAAACTTCTTCCGAGAAGGGCCCATTTCTGAAAACTTTGCGGCCAAAATGAGTGTCCACCTTGCTGTGCTTGGGCTCCTAATGTGGACGAAAGCTGCCTCTCAAGGCCCGAATCGCCAATTCTCCAAGTCGCCATCCTACCGATCGGCGCCCAACCACAGCTTCCCGAAGAATCGCCGCAATGAGCCCAAAAGAGCACCACCAGGAAGGAGCAAGAGAGAGCTGCAGTAAGATTACAAGGTAAGGGAGTTCTCAAGGCCGTATTTTCAAACAATATAGAAATATTTTGTCTTTGATATGAATAGCGATAATATAGATGATAATCAATTTTGCTTGATTATTATGCGAGCGGTCTCAAAGCATATTGGAGGTTATGATAGTTCTGCCCGATATAAAGAATTTCTTAATATATTCCCCGCCGAATGAAAATATTATCGCGGATCGTTTTATTTTATTCTTTATTTTGAATAATTTTGCCTTGTTCTGCTATAATTTGGCTTAGGAGGACGGCGGCGCGAGAGAAGAAAATTAATTATTTTGGGAAATGCTAATCGCGAGCGTTTAATGATCGATTGATATTATATTATTTTATCGATATTATTTTATATCGAATATTAGGATTATGATCTGAATTTGGAATGCGTCTATTCTGAATAATAAGAATATTTATAATAAATATGATATTATTTTAAATAATTGAAAGATATAGCATGAATAAATATATTTTCTAATAATATATTCTATATTAAATTACATCTGAAATGATATAGATTAGCATAAAAAGAAAATAGTTTTTTCTTATTTTTATTAAGTAATTGAATATAGAGAATGAGGATTACTTACGATAAAAGGAGCGATTAGGGATTATAAATATTTAATTTAAAGATTTTTAAATCTTATTGAATAAATAATAAAATCTTTTATTTATTTAGATTTTGCCATAAATATTTGGTAGATTAATTATCTCGATTATAATCTTATTTCTTTTTTATTAGTATTTATATTAGATTTGAAATCGATTAAAATATTATCTAAGAATA